TTTTTTGGTTGGAGGGGTTGGTGAACGGTTAGCTTGAGGGAGATTGTCGAGAATGTTGGAGATTGTAAGAGGTTTATTGACTGGATTAGGTGGGGGAAGGGAATTCTTAGCGAGAGCTGGTGGGCTTATAGAGAATAGAGAAGTGAAGTTTTTGGGAGGGGTCGCGTCCCGCGCGCACTTTGTTGGATTAACGTCGAGTTTGAGCGTTAGGCGGGAAACAGGCAGGCTGAATCAGTACATTGCGTGGAATCTCTCCTAATTACTCTTCTGATAGTCTGACCCAGAAGAGCTTTTGGCGTGTAGCTGGTTTAGTTGTATATTCGAGAAGAACAAGATTTCAAACATGCGCTGATCAAGTCGCAGGTTCGGGATACGCTGGCTGAGCGATAAGTTTGCGCTTATCTTAGCGGCTGGGTGGGCCAACCATCTTTAGGTACTCCGTATATTGCTATAATATTTACTTGCTGGAATTATTGGATCTAAAGCAGAAGGCAATATGTGGCTTCTTCGAGGGACCTGAAGGCATGATTACCTTTATTTCACTTAATATTACTTCCTACGTGTGACGGACGAAAGAAGAGTGCAGTCCAAGTTCCACTTTATATTGACCAGAGGAGCCGTCGAGACGACACCAGACTAGTAGCTAAAAGGCGAATCCCAGAACCGCTAAACACACTTTTGGGTATGTAATAAATTGAAGACCAGGCGGGAAAAAAAAAGCCGTTCTTCGCGTTTATTCCATCCAATTCACAGCCGAGCAAGCAGCGCCGAGCAAGGCCCCCCAGACGCGTGCAAAAAGGAAAAAACCCCTTTGCACCAGTTGGAGAGAAGACCCGTGACTCGCACACGCTTACAGACGACGACCACGGCGACCACCCTTGCGACGAGTAGAGTCGGAGGGGGTGGGGGTGACGTCCTCGATGCGGCCGATGCGCATGCCGGAACGGGCCAGGGCGCGGAGGGCGGACTGGGCACCGGGGCCGGGGGTCTTGGTGCCGTTACCACCGGTGGCGCGGATCTTGATGTGGAGGGCGTTGATGCCGAGCTCCTTGCAGCGGGCGGCGACGTCCTGGGCGGCCAACATGGCGGCGTAGGGGGAGGACTCGTCACGGTCGGCCTTGACCTTCATACCACCGGTCACACGGCAGATGGTTTCACGGCCGCTGTCGGGGGATAATGTGTTAGCCTTGGTTTTGCGCGATTCCCCGGCGAGTGGCCTTGTTGGTTCTGGTTCCCATCATCCTGCTTCGACATGCCTTGGCCCTGACTCCTTGTAGCCACCAGCCCAATCGCAAGCGCATCGAGTCGAAGGATGGGTTCCAGGGATTTCCGAGCGAGAAGCGGAGAGACTCACGAAAGATCGGTGACGTGAACGAAGGTATCGTTGAAAGAGGCGAAGATGCGGGCAACGCCGAAGACGAGCTTGCCTAAAACCCCCCAATATTCACATTAGCATCTAACTCTTGCGCGGACAATCTCTCGAGTGCTGGGAATTCAATTCGTACCATCACCGGCCAGAGGGCCGAGAGTGACGTTCTCCTTGGCGGCAGGGGTGGTCTTCTTGGGAGCCATTTTTGTCGGTTGTGGGATGGAATATGGGACAGAAGAGAGAAAAAAAAGAAGTCGAAGTCGGACGCGCCCGCTCGAAGTGAAAGTTGGATAGAGAAAAATCCCGGACGGTGTGTGCCCTATCCACACCCCGGCTCTGATTGGCTGCAGATCAATCTTAGGCCGTGCTCAAGCGAGCGTTTGCCTGAGGCCGCAAACAATTTAGGCGTTTTTGACAGCCGTTGATTGGCGGCGCCTCGGGGTGCAGTCGGCCCGAAAGTTGGAGATGCCGGCACTATTTAAAATTCTCCTGTGCGCTTCACCAGGCTTACTCCTTCCCTCTTCCTTGTGAACATTCAATTCAAATCAACAGGCTCTGTGGCTATTTGCGCTGGGAGTCTAGTGGGCTCATTGTCAATCATAACAACCCTCACATCTTGTTCTTCGCTTCAGGCACTGCCATCATGGGCTTCACCAAGGAGACTGCCAGTGTTGGCATCATCGGAATGGGTGATATGGGCAAAATGTATGCCCAGCGCCTCAGTGCCGCAGGATGGAGGTAATACATGCGAAGATCTTTTTCTATTTCCGTTGCGTCGACAAGATACCCCTCAGCGTTTCTCTTACTAGGTGAGCATCTCTTTTCCATATCTCTGTCACATACCTTTCCATCCCCCACTTGAATGATGACTTGAGTGCATTTGGCTCGAGTATGGCTCGGTGTCCGGCGTTTATATCATTCTGATATATCTGCTACGCACTGGGTCGTCTATGATGTAACATCTCAGCTACCTTTATTTCTTTGTCTGAAATTCGCAACACAATCATGCTCCGTCTTCTTCTTCTCAGCCATTCGCTGTTGGATCTCACGCTGACTGTCTTGCTTCCAGGTTATTAATTTTTTTGTACACTTTCTTGATATTTTCGATAGCACACAACATCTTTAGTACTAACTAGATATCTTGCCCAATAAAGGATTAATGCATGTGACAAACTCGATTTGTATGAGGACTTGAAAAAAGAATTTGAATCTCAAGTACGTCTTTGCTTACTCGCAGCCAGTGCTGTCCATAAACTCATCTTGAGAAAGCAAGGTGTTACCGTATACCCGAATGGACACCTGGTTTCTAGGATTAGCGATTACATCATTTACAGCGTAGAGGCCGGTGTCATTGACAGGGTAGTCGCTGAGTATGGCCCATGTATGTCTGTGAAGCCGAACTGCAGCGCCCCAGCATTGTTTTCCCTTCTACTACTACCCGACAAACGTTGTCTGACTCCTGGAAAGCCACCAAGGTCGGCGCAATCGTTGGAGGTCAAACGTCCTGCAAGGCCCCGGAGCTTGCTGCATTCGATAAACATCTTCCCTCGGATGTAGAAATTGTATCCTGCCATTCGCTCCATGGGCCCAAGGTCAATCCCAAGGGCCAACCACTGGTATGCTTGCTTGCTTGATTGATACCTTCGATGATGGTGACAAGGATCGTCGCAATGTGGACGCACACCCCTAGTAACATACCTTGCTTCCTCTAGGTCCTGATCCAACACCGTGCGTCCGATGAGAGCCTCAGATTCGTCGAAGAAGTCCTATCATGCTTCGGCTCCGAATACGTCTATCTAACGGGAGAGATGCATGACCGGATCACCGCCGACACGCAGGCGGTTACACACGCCGCCTTTCTGAGCATGGGCACGGCTTGGCAAGCAAACAATCAGTTTCCCTGGGAATTTTCCCGCTGGGTCGGCGGCATCGAGAACGTCAAGATCAACATCACCCTGCGCATCTACTCCAACAAGTGGCACGTGTACGCGGGACTCGCCATTCTCAACCCGGCGGCGAAGAAGCAGATCCGCCAGTATGCCGAATCGGTGACCGAACTCTATAAGCTCATGATCGAGGGCCGTCGCGAAGAGCTCAAACAGCGCGTCAAGGCTGCAGGCGAGGCAGTTTTCAAGGCGGGGACCGAGAGTCAAGAGCTGCTGCTGAAGGACGAGGTGCTCGATCGCTTCTCTTTGTCGAATGGTCCGCGCGAGAAGACGCCGCCCAACAATCACCTCAGTTTGCTTGCCATCGTCGACTGCTGGTCCAAACTCGGAATCGTGCCTTATGACCATATGATCTGCTCAACACCTGTAAGAACGCCCACCCCTGTCTTCCTCGGGTACTTTCCGCCGCGTTGCGCACGCGGAGGTCTAGTATATTGCTCCCTCCCCTCCTTCAGTCTCGCTCACACTTTCGTGTCTTCACAATCCAAATAGCTCTTCCGTCTCTGGCTAGGAGTCACAGAGTACCTGTTTCGCAGCCCCGAGCTCCTCGAGCAGGCTCTCGACACCGCTATCGATGACAAGACGTTCCGGTCCGACGACTTAGAGTTCACTTTCGCAGCGCGGGTAAGTACTTAGACTTTTTGGACCTGTTCCACTTTCCCCTCCCCCGTCCCCTCGACCGACCGGATCTCCGCGGGGCCAGCATCTGTCCGGGGCTTATGCAATTTTTGCATCGTCAATCCCTGTACTCTCCCTCTCGTTCTCTCCCCTCGGCCGTATATGCGTCGTTTGTCGAGCCTTCCGGTCGAGCGTTCGTTCCAGAATACCCCACTGACATCATGTGATCCATCCGCTAGGCGTGGTCCGACTGTGTTTCGTTCGGTGATTTCCAGTCCTACCGCGATCGCTTCGAACGTATCCAGCAGTACTTCGCCCCACGATTCCCCGAAGCCGTCAAGCTGGGCAACGAAATGATGAAGACCATCCTGGAAAAGACCACCCCCGGAAATGCCTAAAATTAGAAGCCCGCTTTCCCCGGGGAAAATTGTATCAGAATGAGAAACCATGACAGCTTTTCCCTAAAACAACCACATAATAAGGCCAAAAAAAAACCAGACTAAAGGAAAGGACAAGCCACAGGAACTTGGCGGGACGTCGGGTAGCGCGTTTGGAAACATCCGCGCGCCGGGAGCACCCAACCATAAGAGAAGTACGGAGCTCCGTAGGGAGACGGAGAGTGCCAAAGGGAGGGCCTCTCTTGTACTGTAGTTATGCAATGCTTTTATTAGCGTTTTCCTTGAAGACGGAGAAAATAATGTAGTATAACCATCAGAACTGGATAGGGTGGCAGGTTTCGAGACCATGTGGTGGGTATGGGTATGTGTTTGTGTATGTTTTTGTGTATGTGCGTTTGTGGCACTAGCGGATACGTGTTTTTTTTTTGTTTTTTTTTTGTTTTTTGTTTGATCTTAATAATATCTGATGATGGGGGGATGTCGAGGTGCTTTTCGAGGATTGGAAATGTCGTCAATGATGCATTGCTCTTCTCGCACACTCATACAAGTCAGGTCGGTCCAGGGGTTCGCTTGCGCACGGGGTTTATTTTCTTTGGGGATGCAATCTAATTGATCGGCTGAGCTTTATCCCTTTCAGGCAATTCGCATAGGTACGCTTCATCGTTTCATGGCTGTGGTGGGGGAGTGAGTGTAGAGTAGGTCCACTAGGCCACTGGCGATTTAGGCTAAGCTGAGAGCTGGATTTGCTGCTTCTTCCTGCCTAGCACAAGCTAGTCTATCAGTATCTGGACTAGCAGCTCGAACCCCTCCGTAGTTAAGTGATTGCTAGGCTGCTAGGCTCTAGCACAGGAGGCTGTCGGGTCGTACCGTACCTCGACTAGTCGATTAATCAATCTACTGCGCATGATTTGATATTCACATGGCAATAGCGTGTCAAAGTGCCAATGGACATGAGGGGGACGATGAATTCTCCGACATACTGCTTAAGGTTGTTGATGGCATTGTGGCGTCTTAGTACGGTAAGCCTTGACGGCAGTAGGCTAGTTAGGGTGGACGGACGCCCCAAGGAGTATTCTGTCATCTCTTTGATTGTTGACTATTATCGTGTCTGTGTTTTGACGGAGGTAAAAGAGGAGTTGATGCTGATCTGGTTAGAAGTATGGAAGCACTCCGGACGATTGACTTGTTCGAGGTACGGAGCACCGTCGACAACGAAGGACGGGTAAGAATGTATACCGAGGGCCGGTGTCAGGCCATATCTGGCAGGAGGTCCTTTATTCCAGTCTCATGGATCGTCTACAGTGTTCAATTCAATTGATGCTAATACTGTGGTATGCTCTACAGTCAAAATGGCTTGCTTACACCCCTGCATGGAAACAATATATTGCAGCTCAATCCGCTTCAATCCGACCAATCGGTCGCAAGACGATCCGATTGACAATTGCCCAGATTCATTCACTTCCATGCTGACCCCGGGTATGTACCGCGATGGAGAATCGAATAAAGGACTTGGTAGTGAGAGAACTGGACATTGGGTACTGAGGGGGCTTTTTTGACATTCCACAAATGATCCAAGCGCAGGATAAAGTATCTGTCTGCCTTCCGCATCCCCTCCAAGAATGATACGAGGTTACGGGGACTTTGGAACGGAGCAGCATGATGCGGGACAAACGAAGGGGACGGGAAAGGAGCGGAAGGATTTCCAGGCTCAGCCGTGTTTGATGGCAGATGTGACTGGTAGAAACAAACCAGTCTGATCGAGGTCATCTCCAAGAGGTCGGAATCGGCTGGAAAGAGAGCGAGAGGGTGAACAGTCCTCTGCCCAGCCCAATGCCCAGAAACGACCAGTCAATGTGACGGCATAGCATACTGCTGGCAAGAGAGAGAGAGAGAGAGAAAGAACAGAACTTTTGAAACCACAGCTTCTGAGCTTCCAAACCCTCCAAGCCTCAAAAGAGAATGCAATGACAGTATTTTTAGTCACCAGCAGATGATGTCGTCGGTCGAGTCTAGTGGATTTTATCACATGGGCTGCTGGCCTGCTGCGCTAGTGCTCCGTAAACTAGCAGTGGCTGCAGTGCCAATTTGCATGGCAGAATTTTTTGGAGCATCCCGTCCTCCTTCTCTCTCCTTCTCTTCAATTTTCAATTTTTATTTTGCTTTAATTTTCCTTTTTGGGGAGGAGGCTGGCTAAGAATAACAACTGACTCGGACGCGGATTGATGATTGATGATGCTATGATGGAAGACCCCTCTGTCATTGGATTAATGCTTCCAAGCGAGACCACTTAATCAAAGCAATGACAGGCTCAGGACTCCAAAACAAAGGGGCTGCACGCCGGACTCCGCAGCTAAGTGATCTTGCTTTTTCCTGAAACAAGGGCTACGCATAATCTGATTCCCACATGTGTACATCATGCTGTGGTCTAGCGAGACACTTACTCCGGAGTGGACAATGTCATTCTGTATGAGTGGGTGTTGACGTGCATAGTCGTACATAACCTGCCTTGACCCTCAAAACGTCAAGCTACTCGTACCAACTTTGAATCGAGGGATAGAGCAAGAGAATGCGAGACCTGGTGTATGCATTTAGTATAATGTAAGGGTACCATAGCATTAGGATCGCATAAATAAAGTTTGTCCTCTCCTTTCGCATGGGCAATGGACGAACGAACCCCTTTTGCGATGCGGAAGGGTATCGCACGGGTGAAAGCCCAACTCATTACCACCCAAGGTTGCGTGGTTTGATTACTCCCCTATGTCAGGAACGGCAAAACCACCGTCTTGGAAGCTTGCAACAATAATTCGAGTCCGTCGACCGTGACCGTGGAAAAGGCCGGTATGGACCTGGGTAAACGAAAAGGAAAGAAAAAAAAAAGGTTTCCTCCTTTCCCATTATTGGTTCCGAGCTTCCGGTGGCCCACCACTGGCTGCGATTTGCTGTGCGTAGAGGAGCCCGCGGCGAGAAGAACCGCCCTGGATCGGTGAAGATACGACTTGTTCCCGAGATCCGATAACTTGGTCTTAGCTACGGGAGACCGATGCTGATTGGCAGTGACGGCACTCCAGGACTGAACCATCCGAGTAAGACGAGCAGGTAGCCACCCAGCTTTTCAGGGCGAACAGGGTCCATGATTGGCGCCAGGAACAATAAGCGGAGCAAGCCGGACGTCTCTCTGCGTCTCTGGGCTCCCAGCTTTCTGAACTAGTGCGTAGGTAAGAACTCAGTTCGTGTGAAGTGGCGGAAAGGAATGACACGATGATTTAGGGGAAAGCCATGTTGATCCCGGGGAGGATTCAGGTCTGGAGACTAGAAAGAGGGGAGGAGAGAGGCGTCCCCCAGGGAGGTGGGGGGTGGGAGAGGGTGAACACTGAAAGGGAACCTGAAGTTTACTGCTGAATTGAACCCAGTTCTTCACTTCTCCACATGGATGGATATACGGGACGTAGCCGTTTGCCGGCCCTTTCCTCCAAAGCAACGAGCAACATGGTGGTCAGGCCATAGGGAATAATGGAGGCTGTCAAGGACTTTTATGAGAAGTCTAGAACGAGCTGGTCAGCCACTGCTGGGAAAGGCTGCGAGCGAACGTGTTGATGCCTCAGAACGGAGGTAGTACCAGTGCAGAAGTACTCCGTAGTCGGGAAAGGAGGTGGAAAAGACGGTGCCGGCGGAGGAAAGGGAAATACGTACACGGAAGAGTCAATTGGAGAAACAAAAAAAGAGTCCAATTGAGTCCCGCGCACAATTCTGCGGTCTGATTGATCACCTGCCGTTCTCCGACCCAATGGTAGGTCCTACCTAGTATCTGGTATGCCCCATCCCGACGGTTGAGTGGATGCTGCACAATTGAATAATAATAATGATAATAAAAATAACAGAAATAAATGCCCAGCCCGAATCCTCCGTACGGTCTTTCCAGGCCTCTATGACCTAGACAGGGCTAAGACCGTCTACTGCCTAAGAAGGAGGAGTCTAATCTCAAGAGTGTTGAAGACAATAAGCTACCTTGGATTCGCCAATACCTGCTAGTATGATTCCAGGCATTGCAGTGACCTCTCTCATCCTGTATCCAGACAAACCCATGAAGCACAGACCATGTGGCCATTCCACGCCTAAAAGAAAATGCCCACACTACGTAGGAGTACGTACCAGGCAAGATACCCAGGTCCCAAAGAGGCGTGGCAGCCCCGGGGAACTTAAATCTGAAAAAGCCCGAGGATTTTCGCCATGATTGTCAATCTGGAAAAAACTAAAGGTACCCGCTTGCCGGGCATATCTATCTGACAATCTCCCATTTTGATTGACGATCTTCTCTCCTTTCGTGGGCTCGATTTTGCTTTCTATCGTTGCTCGATCTGAGTAAATGAGTAGTCCCGATTGTCACTCTCTTCAATTGCAAGTCTCTCCTTTCCTGGTCAGTTTTTATCCGGCCATCTGAAGTGGTGTTCGCCCGCATGGTAGTGTGATCGTCATCTTTCAACTCGTTGAGATTGTCATGCAGACGGATCTGTCGCATGGCATTTGTGGCAACACTATGTGGCTTATGACAACTATATGCGATTCTATTATCCGAGTCTTTCAAGTATGACTACTCCTCTTGTCTTCTTGTTCAAGGGATTGTTCAATTCCAGATCTCTCTCTATTTCCGTCATCACTGTTTTCAACCTCTCGCTATGCTCAACGCGAGAACATCGCGCGGACCATGCTCTGCTCTCTCGCCATGTCATGCAGCAGTAGAAGAAATCCCACTTGGCTGTCGGTCGTTACTGACTGACATTTTTGTGCAGTGATGCTTTTTACCTCAATATACTTCCGAACACCAAGATTCCAGCAGCAAAGATCCCAGCCCTAACATACTCCAAGACACTTCCGTCATCAAGAGAAAACCACGCCTATTCTTCGAGATCTCCAGCAGCAACATTCCTTGACCTCAAAACAGTTCCAAATCATCATTTATATTCGATTATAACTATTATACCGAACGACCTGAATTTCTTCTGCCTTCGTTCTTTTCGACCACGATTACGCTATATTTCTTCTGCTGCCTTCCCTTGATATCCAATTTGTAGACGGCCTGGTTCCGTCGTCACTACCGTCATTATGAAACCGTCTTCTTTCCTTATCGCTGCCGTGAGTGCGCTGGGACTAGGTAAGGCTCTCTTCTATGTACAATACTTACTCCCCGGCTGACTCGCAGCTTTCCAGCACGCACATGTTTCAGCAGGGTGATCCATCACGATCAGAGGTCCTACGACTATGAAGATGTGTCATACAGCATTGACGTGCCTCAGAACACATCGTCCACAGGGTCAGGCCCTATCTACCTCCGGCTCAGAGCCCCGCCTGGCGTCAAATGGTTCGCATTGGGCCAAGGATCGCAAATGACAGATGGAAACCTCTTCATTATCTACTCTGCACCAGATAACAATATCACGCTCTCTACGAGGAGAGCAACCGGTCATGTCCAACCTCAGTACGATTCCGGTATCCAGGCGTACCTCGAGGATGGATCCGGTATATACGACGGAATCATGACAGCGAACATTCGCTGTGACAATTGCACGACTTTGGCTAACGGCAAGAGCGCTGTTGGCAAGTCCAGCTCGTGGTCTTGGGCATTGACTTATGGGCCCCCACTGGCGTCTAGCAATGTTTCGGAGATGCTGTACCAACACGACTGGCATGGTTCTTTTACATTGGACTTGGAAAAAAATGCCGGTAGCAATTTTTCCAGTCCGTACTATGTTCCATTGCGCCTCTCATCCCATCCTTCAATCTACTCCAACCCGCAGCAGGTCAGCGATACCATTCTTCACAAAAAGCGAATTGCGCACGGCGTAATGACCTCCGTCGCCTTCGTTCTCCTGTTTCCTAACTTTGCCCTCCTTCTATACATTGTTCCTTCGCGCCGCACCGTGGCATGGATCCATGCCCCTTTGCAAGCCTTTGCCGTGCTTTTGGCTCTGGCCGGGTTTGGTGTCGGGGTTTCTGTTTCAAAGGACCTCCAAGAGCTCGGTGGCTATCATCCAGTTATCGGATACGTCGCCGTTGGCGGAGTCGTCATTATACAACCGATTCTGGGAATCATGCAACACCTGCATTTCCGCAAGACTGGCACGTCGTCACTTTATGGAGTCTCGCACCGGTACCTTGGCCGCTTTCTCGCGGCCCTCGGAATCATCAATGGAGGAATTGGCTTCCATTATGCGGCCGCGAAAAATCCTGATATACCACCCGCGTCGCCACTCGCTTATGGTATCATCTGTGGGGCAATGTTTTTGATCTATATCGCTGTCATCGCCTGGCGTAGGCGGAAGAACAAGCGTCTTGCTGCGAGCAGCATGACGTCGAAGTCTGTTGAAAGCAAAGGAACCTTGGCCAAAATGGACAACAGCAGTGATAGCACACTGGTCCAAGTACCACACGATACCGCCGATGCGCCGCGGAAGCAGTCGTGGGAATCATAGTTATATGATGGTTACACCGGCTATTATCACGATCCTTATCAGCCCATCAGCCATTCTGTACTACCAAGCGTACATTCCCGTTAGGTCTTGCATATCCGGAGTTTGTCCCACAGCATCTTGGAATACACTAATTCCCCAATCTCTCTTTTCATGTACTATGGTGTTGCATCGATGTAACAACTTCTTCTTTCTCTCAACTTATTTTTCTATTCTTTTGGTCTTTGGAATCCTACGGGATTCAACTCTATGTACATATTTTCTTGGAACGAACTAGCCATACACGATGTCTCATGAGTATGCTTTCGCAGTAGATGATGCACCAGTGATTCTCCAAAATGTGGGAGTTTTGCAAGATGGTACAAGCTATAATGACTGTAATGGTGTCATGGATCTGGAACCAAAGAGAAAAGAAAGCAACAAAAACAAAAAAGAAAAGAAAGGAAAAGAAAAAGAAAGAAAGAAGGAACAAACCGAATACCCGTCGTTCAGTACTACGAACTGCGTGTTGTTGAAGGCCCGGTAGTTACGGGAGGTGATGGCCTGAGGCGATACGGCTGGGTTAGTCAGCTAACGGGCGCTGGCCAAGCCATGGATGAATCCAGGCTGAAACCACCAACAGTCGGATTTGAGAGAAACCCCGGTCAATGAAGCAGACAACTTGTTTTCTGGGACTAGTATCTTGAGTCTATCATCCGTTGTCTTGTGCTACATAACCAGGGTCTCATAAACCGCTCTTAACACACCAATCGTCGCCGCCCTAGCCTCCCCAGCGTGACCGCCGCGAACCCGTCTCCCCTCTCTCCTCTCCCTTCTAAAGTGCCCGCCGTCAGCCCCAGTGGACCATTACCAGAGCCTTTTCTCCTTCTTTACCCTCGATATCTGGCTGTTTCGGTAGCGCTAGTGGACTCTCTGCAAACTCAATGCAGCCCTTCATTTCTTATTTAAGTCGCGACAGGTGATAGTCACTCCCATCTCGCGGCTAGATGGAGCTCTATGGCGTCCGGATATAACTCAGGATTCTCCGCGACATCAGTCCAGCATCGTGCCCTGGGTGATGGACCTTCATACTCTAGTCTGGAGGATGGCTCCGCGGACGGTAGCTGGGCCGAGCCCGCCACGAGACCCGGGAGAAATGCTCGCTCTGAATCTGGAGGCAGCGCGACCATTGGCGTCCGGGGGGGCTCGTTGACCACCTCGGTCGGAGCCCCTGGAAGCTTTAGCTCTGAATTGAAGAGCATGAAGTCATCGCGAAGCACCACACCTCGTCCGGACGGAGCGCTGAATCGTCGACCGAGCAGCTTTATCGACCAGGATGATATGCCGACTACGGAGGAGCGACAGGCTGTGATTCGAGACAAGATCGCGAAGGAGATGAAAATCAAGACAGGAACCGAGAACATGCTGGAAGCGCTACTCGCGAAGAATCCGAAACATACGAAAGACCAGAGATTAAGAGTGGAGTCGGAGCTGAGTTCATCGAACCGCAAGCTTGCAGAGCTTCATCATGAACTCGAGGAGGAGATGCTACGTGCGCAGGCGCCGTCTACCCCACCTCGAAGTCGCCTATCGACCCTCTTTCAAAGCAGCTCGATGCGTTCACCTACTCGCAACAACCCGACGATCGAGGAAGCCCAGATCCAGGAGGGCGAGGCGGAAATGGAGTCACCCACATATGTCCTTGCAGAAACACTACAAGCCTTGGAAATCGAAGGCATGCCCCCGGATTATTATGTTGAACGTGCAAACAGTCTCGTGGAGCTTTTTAAGAGACACCCGACCTTAAAGTACGACCTCGAGTGGTCTGTGTTCGGTTTGCGCGTGCAAATCATGCTTCTCAGCGACAATAAAGAAGCAGTGGCGGCTGGGTACCGATTGACACGCTACGCTATCGCGGACCGGAAATCCCTCCAGATTATCCGATCGTTCCATACAGATGAGCTGGTGATTCTGTCCCTGGTCAAGGAAAGCAAGGCGAGCATTGAGCGGGAGCAAGCTTTGAAGTTCGTTAGGGCCTTCTTGGACGTTAAGGACGGTGTGCGCGAGATCTCACGCGCCGTAGTCAGGACCATTGTGTCAGTCGCAGAGCACTACGAGGATCGTCTTCGGAACATCTCTATCATGACTCTAGCTGAGATTCTGGTTAAGGATCCTGAATTGATCGCATATTCCGGTGGATTTGCTACCCTTCACGACGCCTTAGCAGAAGGAACGTTTGGCGCCTCAGAAAGTCTCGTAGCGAGCTTTCTCCATGTTCTCGATACCCCCCACAGCAGGAAGCATCTACGAGGAGGATGTGAGTTAGAGGCTGTTCTTGCCCCGTTTACTGACTCTTTGTCGGACTCGGTCCGCAATGGGCGCTTGAAGTCTTCAGCTAGAGCTATCTCGGCAATGCTGAAGACATGGCCGGGCTTGATTATACTCGCAAGAAACGGAGGCAAACCTTTGCAGTCGCTACTCGACTCATTACATTACCCGGACCCGCAGGCAAGAGATTTGATCATGGAGCTTTTGTTTGACGCATTAAGAATCAAGCCCCCATCATGGTCATCATCCTTCCTGGCTGGACGAAGGCTCACAACTTATGGGCGAGTGGCCAACCTCAGAACAGAATCGGACACGAAACATATTCAAGCATTCTATAACGATGATGGAAATCGATTCGATTTGACAGCGCATTTCTCAACATTGATTCTTGCCACCCTTGTCGAGGCCGGGTTGTCCAAGGTTATTAAGGCCATTCTCTTGAAATTTCAACCGATGCTGATACGGATTTAGGCACTTTCGGATCTCATCGAGGACGAGACAGACCTGTCACTCAGGCGCAAGGCTACACTACTTCTTACCGAAGTATTGAAACTGGCACATCATTCATTACCTCAGCATATCAGTGCGAAGCTGCAAGTTCTGCCCCATCTCCTGCCTGCTGCCATCAAATATGATGTCGAAAATCATGACATCTCCACTTCGACAATATATCAAATAGACAGCATCAATAGAACATTGGCTCGTAGCGTTCCAAACGGCGCGGGGCGTTACAATGTCGAAGTGGATATTTCCGCTTCCCTTCTCTCTGGTGACCAAGGCAAGGAGAAGTTAAGCCCATCTATGGATGAGACGCAGTTCCGCAACGCTATTCTGGAGACGCATGTTTTGAACACCGTCAACTACCTGAAATGGAAGTGGGACCTGATTCACCGCATTGTCGAGGGGCCTTTGACCAACCCCAAGCGGCTGGAAGAAGCTATCAAAGGCTCGAAGTTCATGAAGCGACTGATCGGGTTCTATCGACCTTTCAAGTACCGATTTTCCATGCTACCAAACACGAAGCCAAACCAGCGTTATGTTCGTACAGGCTGTGCACTAATGCGCACACTCGTACAACTTCCGGAAGGGACGAGATACCTGGCTGAGAACAAATTCTTGAGGCAGGTCGCTGAGTGTCTTGCTCAAGTCGATCGCATGAGTGGGCTCACATCGTCTTCTCCCTTGTTCTCTAAAGAACAGATGGCTAGCACGTTGAGCGGAGGGTACTTTGCTATACTAGGAACGTTGAGTAGTGACGCAAACGGGTTGGCTATGATGGAACGATGGCATATGCTAAATATGTTCTACCATATCGTCGAGCTGCGAGATCGAGATGATCTGATTCAAACTCTTCTTGGGAATATGGACTACACACAGGAAAGTCACCTCAGGGTCATTCTGTCCAAAGCATTAACCACTAGTTCTAAGGAGATTCGCATCTTCGCGACTCGACTCCTACGAAAGTACGCTGTTGGAAATGTTTCTCTCCCCGCTCTACCATCCGCTGGTAACAATGCGGACTGGGTGGTCAAGCTTCTCGTTACCCAGCTTTACGATCCCGACGTGTCTGTTTGTCAAGTGGCTGTGAAAATCCTCGAGGAGGCATGCAACCAACGTCACTATCTCGAATATGTGGTGAAGTGTCGGCCATCCCTAGACCATTTAGGTGAAATTGGGGCGCCATTGCTCCTACGATTCTTGTCCACATCAGTGGGCTACCATTATCTCGATGGGTTGGATTACATTACCCAGGAAATGGATGATTGGTTTCTGGGTCGGAACGATGCTTATGTGGGCCTTGTTGAAGCAGCCCTCTCGCGTGCCTATGTTGACCAGCCGCGAAGGAGTAGCTTTGTCCCTGAAGATCTGGTTGATCTTCAAGACATCGGGCTAGTGCCGCCCCATTTCTATCGAGAGCTCGCCCGAACCGCTGAAGGATGCAAGCTTCTAGAGCATTCCGGCCATTTCAATGAGTTTGCTTGGACAATTCGCGATTTTCAGCTGGATGAAGAAGACACGGAGGCTCTTCTCAAGGTCAAGGGCTGTTTGTGGGCAGTGGGTAACGTCGGCTCGATGGAATTGGGTGCGCCGTTTCTGGAGTCAGATATCGTTCAACATATTGTGAAGATCGCAGAAAGTGCGGAGGTTCTCACGATGAGAGGGACGGCTTTCTTTGTTCTAGGGTTGATCTCACGTAGTCGACATGGTCTCAAGGTGCTGAGAGACTTCGGCTGGGACTCCGCTCTCGATCACAAGGGGAACTCGCTAGGCCTCAGTCTTCCTACTGACTTCAACAAACTCTTCCTGGTAAAGAACCTCCTCTAGATGATCTACAGAGGTGCAGTGACTGATCAGTGGCAACTATAGGTCGACTTTCCGTCGCACTCTAGGACCCGGGAGGCCAAGCGCACGTCTCAAGAGAGGTTCAAGGAAGCCACTCTCGATCCGGACCCCACCAACCAGAAGATCTTGAAGCACATAGTAGATATGGGAAACACGGTCCTATCGAAGCGAGCAGCGAATGATCTCAACAAGTAAGTAACATTGTCCGGACTACCCATCCAGATCCCGGAGGCTTACGCTCTGAACCTTTATAGCATCAAGTCGAAGCAACCAGACCGGTTTTACCAGCCTCACCTCTTTCGCAAGACTCTCAATATTCTTGAGAGCCATCATTTTCGCCTACCCGCTCGCCGCTTCGCACTCGATCTCTTCGATAAAAGTGTTCTGCGGCGCATCGTTACCGAAGACGATTCAGATACCGACTCAGATACTACCTCATCTCAAGTTTCTGGATGACGAGTTTCCGTCGGCGTGATACGAAATCGCGCCCTCGATTGCACGGTTCGACCTCACCAGGCGGGCCGGAAAAGCTATGCGCAATCCTCAGGTCTGCCCTGGCCTTCATGCACTCGGCAGTTTTTCCATCTCTTCCAATCTCCTCATATCGCTTTGGCCTCGGCGTTGGATGGTTCAGTCATGAGCAATGAAAGGATGCTAGCATTTTTATTTTTGCTCTTTTTCTACCCTGATTACCCCGGCAGTTTCTTTGCTTTTTCCCCCTCCATAAATAAGTTGGTGCCTTTCGAACCTCTGCGTCGTCAATGACTCAATCTGTTAGCGATGGGTTTGGGGAGCATTCTTGTCATATCACTGCTCAACTTATGGTTCACGATGAATGTTCTTTTCTTTCTCTGGCATATGTATGAACTGTATATACATCAAGCACGAGCGTTGATGCCCGTAGATAACTACGTGGTGTTTCCTCGGATGCCCAGACTCAAAGTCTGATTATAGATGTAGAAAATCGTTCTTGAAAGTTCCATTTTACTCTATTTAGGGACGAGATTGCCGCCTAGAAAGGACAGGATGGAGAGTTTAAGAGGGAGCCACGCACTTCCTGAACGTGAAGCACTTCCCAAACGCTGCTGGCTTTTTATACAATCTATATATATATAGTTGTTGTATTCTACTATAGAACTTCTTAAATTGGTTATTATATATATAGAAGAACTATATCACAATCTAATTCATATGTAAAAATGCTTTATAAGACCTTGTTTATAATTGCTTGCTTGTGCACGTGCTGTGAAAGGTCTCGGATACTTAAATATTTGGACAGAATTGTGAAAGGCTGAAGTTTACTTATTTATTTTACTAAAAAGTATTAGTATTATATTATAGTATAGGGGCAATTACTCACTTTATATTGTATAACCTTTAAAAAAAAATATTGGTGTTAGGGTAAGAAACATGTTGTGTAGGAGTTTTGGTGGTAAATACAGCTGTTGGGGAAGTGTGTTGCTTCCTCTAGCCCCCTCGATGAACTGCGGGGAGCTAACCCAACTTAATTCCCGCGGTTCTCCGCCCACCTGGAACAAAACAATTCACTACTGCAAGGCCTCAACCTCTGCCGTCGCTCTTACTGGATTTCAAGCAGACTATTACATCTATCACACTGGATCACACACTGGAAACTACCGTCGCTTTCACAAGCCATTCTCCTACTGCACTTTCCGATGGAAGATCCCGACGCTGCGTCGGCATCTCTGCACGCCACTTCCGGATCTGACGATGATCACTCCCGCGGCATGAGCAGCGCAGTGTCACATGCGCTGGGACCCGAGCCGTCACCAGCAACCGCGAGCGAAACCGCCGCATTTCCTGTTGTGCCTCATGCGGTGATCCAAAGCATACAATGCGCACGCTGCTCTCAGATTCTTCGTTCGCCGCTGCGGCTGCCATGCGGAAATTCGATCTGCCGGTCATGTCTCCCGCCGATTTATCAACGTACGGGTATCACGTATCCCGCGAACGAGGAGCGGAAGCATGGATTTTCATGCTACATGGGGAAGGCTGATGCGTGTTCCGGAGAGCACTGCCTGGGTGATTGTGGAGCGGACGTCTTACTGAGTCGACTGGCCGATGTTTTCGAGGAGGTTCTTGCGGTCGACCGCGGAGATGGTTCAAGCGAAGGCGCGTCTACAGTTACGTGGAAAGCCTCCCGAGATGAACCACAGGAAGTGACCACACAGTGTGAAACTATTGGGACGGATCTGCTGAAGGGAATTTACTGTCTCGTCAAAGAGGGCCGGTTCGATTATGATGCGTCGGAGGTACACTATTCGGTCGGGGACCTTGGTGCTGACAGCTCAACCCAGCGCTCATATACAAAGCTCAAGAATGCGATCAGGAATGAGTTGGATTGTCAAGTGTGCTACTCCCTTATACTGGATCCGTTGACTACGCCATGTGGCCACACGTTCTGTCGCGACTGTGTCACGATGGTGATGGACCACAGTGATCTCTGCCCTGTCTGTCGCCGGAAGCTGAACTTGTCCTTAACTTCCCGAAGAGAGCCCAGCAATCTGAGGATCTCGACTATCTTAGAGACGCTATTCCCCGAGCAGTTGGCGATGCGGAAAGATGACACTTCCGATGATGATGACGCGGCCGCCGCTGACGATGAACAAACGCTTCCCCTGTTTGTGAACTCGCTGTCTTTTCCTACCATGCCAACCTTCCTGCATATCTTTGAGCCTCGGTATCGCATAATGATGCGCAGGATTATGGAGACGAGGGGCAAGAAATTCGGCATGGTCATGTACAACCGCGGCAGTCGGCCTCAGACAGGATTGGGGCGGTCTGAGTTTATGCAGTATGGTACAGTCTTGATGGTTGATCGCTATGAGCTTCTCCCAGACGGTAGAAGTCTGGTTATTGCCACTGGTGTCTCCCGATTCAAGGTAAGCAGCTCGGAAGTGGTTGACGGCTATCATGTCGGCAGGGTACAACGTGTGGAAGATATGTCAATCACTGAAGAAGAGCGACTTGAGTCATTGGAAACATCAGTCACAATGGAAGCGCCGCCGGCGGCAAGTGCTGATCCTGCATATACCCCTATAGAAGTCCTGCCGACCCAGCAGCTATTTCAAATGGCTCTAGACTTCATTGACGAACAACGTCGTAAGGGAGTCGCTTGGCTTCATCCACGCGTCCTAATGGCCTACGGTGATACACCCACTGATCCCGCTCTGTTTCCATGGTGGCTTGCTAGCGTCTATCCTTTGTGGGAAGACGACAAGTATTCGTTATTAGCAACGACTAGTGTCAGAGACCGTTTGAAGATTGTTGCCCGATGGGTCAAAAAGTCAAGGTCTCGAGAATGGTAGGTAGAGGCGCTTGCCATCTAAACCTGAATATTGTTCTATGTCACTCACAATGGTCTACTAATCAGGCTGGCCGGTTCTCGCCCGTCTTTCTCTTCTGCCTTATGACTAGCCGTCCCTCTGCTCATCTTCTCCCTTGTACCACTGTTTCTGGGTCCTGGTCTATCATTCTTATCGCCCTCGACGGCGGTCTTCACGTCGTTCACACCGTTCACCATGTCGGTCTCCATTTCCTTCGGAAATACTCGTGCATCCGAGAATTCTCGCCAGGAGCCGGAGCCAAGTCGGGACTCAGAGATGTACATCCCGCAGACCTTGGTGTTGGGCATATTTCTGGCGATATTTGTGACCCAGATTACCATCAACATCATCCAGATCAGGCGCGCAAGACAACGGGGTGCAGCAGGGGGCAGACGAGACACGAACCTAGGAGCTGTAGGAGCTGAGATACCAGGTGAACGAGAAAATGAGCCAGGGGGGATTGATGTCGATATCGCTCCCGGCGAGATTGGATGAAGGACTAACGATAGTAAGCCACTAATGTGGTTTGAGATCGCTTTGATATCTAAGGTTAATGTCTTCGAAGTAGAAAATCGTCAAATCACCAAGCATGAACACTATTCCAAGGCATGGTCCCGAGCGAACATGAAAGTAGTCTTGGTTATGCATCTGCCACCAGCAAGGCGCTGGAATCTGAAGCCCGGTCGGTGCTTTGACCGATCCTGAGATACGATCATCCCAATGCCAGCCATATAGCAGCAGCGTTGCGTGATCTCGTGGTGTGTGGTGAAGCGTGATGACAGAACGTATTTCCGATACTACACAATTTATGCGAAGGGTACTGGATATGAAAATGATACCCATTCTACGAACTTAATTCAGATATGATTCCTTTTTTTTTTTCTGATTTATGCACATGCATGCATCAATTCCATTCCGACCGAGACACACGAAGCGTAGAGCAGAGCAGAGCAGCAAAGTAACTCAGTTGCACCTTGCGTCGACGCAGTGCCATCCTGCAATCCAAAGATATGAAAAAGAACAATGTTGCCTAAAAGGGGTCGTAGTAGGATACCCCGGTCACCTTAGGAATCCTTGACCCCAAGGCATCGTATCGTAGTTCTGACCTGTCTAACATGGCGCAGCCACGATTTGCCGCTTGAAAGGGGCATCCGGAGCCATTGGTCGCACGAGCGCTGGCTGTTGGAAGATTCGAAGTCGACGACAAACGACGATACCTTTCCTCCTCATCACCCTCCTAGTCAATGAATCCGTGGTCATGTGCGAGTGGGTTGCTTTCCTTACCTTGGATCCTGAGGTTATTGCTTCCAATGTCACAAATAGAAGGAAACTTGATAGAGCATGCGATTTGAGCCAATTTAGATCGACCTCCGGCCATAGATATAGTATAGATAGAAGAGGTGAATGGAAAGCGCGTGGGCTCGAAAAGCCGGTCGATTGCGCCTGCGCAATTGAGACAACCAACCCATGTGAAGTGGCTTCTCTTCCGTTTGCTTCCCCTCCTTCACTCTATCAATCTTTATTTCCTCTCACTCCTTTCATAGCTTCTCCAGCATTCTCCGTTTGCTCTTGAGTAAGTTATCTTTCTGTCTTCCTCCTCCTATCCCTACAGCACCGTCATGGTCAATACTTGGACAGTTGATCGTTGGTCTCGACTAATGCAGCACGCAACACACCCACCCCACAGGCGTCCCTATTAGCCACGATGTCGGCATCTGTTTCTTCTAATAATAAAATGGATTCGGAGTCTCCCACTGGAAGGTGCGCTGCTTCTCCGTCAACGGTCCAGAAGTAAATGCAGATCACTTATGCCTCGCTAGATTTGATGCTGTGTGTACAGGGAAGATATCGCTTCATTGGCCGAGTGACTGAACGCTGTCGTATAGTTCCAAGCCCTCCGAAACCTCTCGTCCAATTCAAATTCCGTGACCATCTCCGAACTCGAATACAAACGTCTGGTAAGCGATTGTCCAAACCAACTTCAGTCTTTCTGATAGCGTCGCCGACTAACAAGCCAATGCTGTTGGTTACAGCTCCAAGCGTCGCAGCAGTTTGGTACGTTGCTTGCTGGTGTCATGCGGTCCCGCAATTCTGTTCTAACCTCGAATAACACAGCCAAGTTGAAGAACTCGCTTCTCGAAGGGGGCCTGTTGCAGGAGACTCTCGATGTGAGACATGTCTGCATGCAGTTCCGCACTTTCACCTACTGATTTCGTGCAGATCTTGATCTATGGCCCTCCCTCGACTCCTCCGACTACTGGAGGTCGCACTGCAGATACCGCGCCTCCACAACGAGGGCATACCAAGCGTGCAGTCGTTCCTCGTCGCAGAAGCTCAGATGAGAGCTCCGATCTAGATGCTGCATCTGAAGATGACCACGATGATGCTACCTCGGTCGACTCGCCCACCAGCGACGGAAAAGCAGAGGACCACGAAGGTTCATCCAGGAGCGAGGAATCCGCGGCTACCCCTACTGATCAACGCACTGTGATGATCCGCAACCTACCAGACCGCGTCACCTACAAAGACGTGGTCGACGCTGTGCAGAGCGGTGCCCTTGTTCATGTCTACCTAAGGGCTCGTGAGCGGATTGCAAGTGTGTCATTTGTGGAAGAGGCTGCGGCCCGCTCCTTCCTGCAGCATAGCAACACTCATGGTCTTTCTGTGGCGGGGAAGCGCGTAAGTGTGATTCTGTTGGTCGAAGACTAACCTCTGCTGAGACTCATTCATAGGTTGAAACTCAGTGGAATGACCGGCAGTTCTACGTTCCTCCCTATGTCAGAAACAAGATCTACAATGGAGCCTCGAGGAACCTAGTTCTCTACAGCGTGCATCCGAACGTCACAGAGTGGGTCATCCGGAAAGATCTGGAGCATATCCACAACCTAATCGTAATCTCGGTTAAATTCAACAATGGCAATGCCTACATATCCACCAACTCCGTGCACAATGCCTTGTTTGCGCGATCCTGCATGATGTCCCGATTTACATACAAAGGTACGAGAATCGGGTTCTATCCAGACGAGTGTGCGGAATCGCAGGGTAAGGTACCCATCGGGCCGAGACACGGTGTGCAAGATGCTTCAGTCGGGAAATCCACATCAGTTCTCAACCGTTTCCATATCTTGTCCCTTGATGGGGCTGATGACGATGAGAGCGAAGATTACGACGGCCATGGTGGAATGAGCGGTCACCTTAACGGCAACGTCCGCTGGACAGACAACAGCGTTTCTGCTTAAGTCCCTTAGAGCACCCTCTCGGCCTTTCTTTCCCTACGTTTGCTAAACTTCTTCCATACCATGTCATCGGTGGTCTACTGCATCGAATAGTTTGTTGCATCTTATTCGATACAGCTGAACTGGAATTGATGCCAAGGGCATGCGGGTCTGCGGGGACATTGCATCAGTGCAGTGTTCGCGCGAATCAGAACGGGGTCAACTGGTGTCCGCGTGGGTTGTGAGGCGGGAAGGTTTACATGGAAATGGACTGGAAGGGAATGGAAGGGGCGTTCATGTCAGAAGGGCTCTTCAAACTTAAGTGTGGGTCGTGATTTCCTTTTAAGATAGCATATTGATAGTCAGAATATCCACCAGCTTGGGGCTCCCGTGTGGGCAGGTGATCATTAGATATGTTTGAACAGAAGCTAAAGTTTATTCCACTTTTAGGCTGAGAAACAGATAGACAAAAAAAGAAATCGGGTGATATTTCAGATAATCCTGGCCTATACTAATTTCAGACCAGCATTGCACCGTATCAATCCATACAACCACTGTGACAACCCAGACCTTCCTCTATGATCGAATTGTCCAGTGGCGGAAATGGGACCACACCGCACCAGATCTCTCTCCACCCCAGAGTACAAACCGTTAAGACGACACCATTCTGCGTATCCTTTTTACCCGGTCAACCAGCCCGCCATTCCTGACAGATCAGAAGATGGGGAAGGGCGGAAGAAAAAACTTTTTTTTGAAAAACACTTCTCATCAACCCAGCCAACTTCTTCCTGAAATTCGTGACAAGAAAAGAAGCAGCCCAGCGAGCGGAGAAAAGTGAATAACCACAGGGATAAAAGAGGGATACCGAAGAATTGAGAGCCGCTTTAACGGTAGGACTTCTGGTAGCGGGAACGAGCACCGCGACCACCGAACTTCTTGGGCTCCGTGCGACGGTTGTCGGCGACGAGGAGTGTGCGGTCGTACTGGACAAGAGCCTGCTTGAGCTGGTTCTTGGAGTGCTCGTCGACGTACTTCTGGTAGTAGGCGACGATGGACTTGGCGATGGCCTGGCGGATGGCGTAGACCTGGGAGGTGTGACCACCACCGGTAACGCGGACGCGGATGTCGACACCGGCGAACTTGTCGGCACCGACGATCAGGAGGGGCTCGTAGACCTATTTTTTTGGGGCGGAGGTGGGGTTCGAGTCAATCAATGGTTCTTCTTCATTTGCGGCATTGTGGAATTGGGTCGGAGAATCGTTTTGTGTGTGTGTGGAGTTAAAAGGTGTGGATATGTACCTTGAAGCGGAGGATCTCAGGCTGGACCAGAGAGAGGGGCTGGCCGTTGACCTTGATGAGACCCTTGCCTTGCTGTTGCGATTGTCAGTCTTTCGATGTTTTCTTTCTGTCATATGCGATTTGGACGGAGTTGGCGGGTGGAAGGAAGATGGTGTCGTTCGTTCGTGCGTTCGTGCGTCCGGTTGGAATTGCTTGCTTTCATTCCTCCGCATCCTTTCGGTATTGGATATTTCCGATGTAGTCGCATAATCCCTCCTCTTCAAGTCGATGCTTTCCACGTCCCAGCTCACTCCTTTCCAATTTCGATATCACTTTTTTTTTTTTTGCCCCTTCCAGATCCTTTGCCGACTCTTCGATTCGGAACCCGCGAACGAACGACACCGGATGTTGTAGTGTAGACAATTTTAGGGGATGTTGTGTTTTGCATACCTTGCAGTGGGCGACAGCGGTGGCTAACGAGGTTCGAAGGTCAGTTCCATTTCATCCTAATACAGATATAACATTCGCGCCGTGTCCCTCCTCCTCCACCCCCATCCTCCTTCCTCCGCTATTCGCGACTCCATCTTTTCCTCTTGCCCATGTCCAATCCTCAAAGAAATAAACAAAACTCACCCGTCTTCTTCTTGCCGAAGCATTGCACACTCGGGACGGAAGCCATGATGTCTGAATGGCCCTGTGTTGCTGGGGGAGGGGTGGGTGGGAAGTACGTCGGGTGGGAGGAGAGAGTGGTGCTGCGGTCGTTCTCGTCGATTTGTCGTCCGTCGCTTTTCCTTCGTTTCGCGTATTAATTTTCTTCCCAGGGCGGGCTTGTGGCAGTTCGGGCGGGCTGGCACCCACGCACCGTGCGGACGATTTCGCTTAGTGCGGTGCGCTAGACCCGCTTTGGGCTAGAGCGGGTAGGGCTCGACGGATGGTCACGTGGCTGGGGGGGATGGTCTCGGAGGGTCGGTTTGTCCGGTTGGCCGGCTGGCCGGCCCTGGAGGAAGTTGGGACCTGCCCGGGTGCAAAAGATAGTGAGTGAGGTGTGAGCTTTGTTGCGTTGAGATATTCTGCATCATTGGTTCGTCGTTGTTGGTTGGATCAAGATACCAAGATGTCGCAGACTATTGGAAAGGTAATTCTTCCTTCCTTCTTCATCTGGCATACTTAAAACCCATCCCTTTTCCCTTCTACCCTGTCTTGGTGGTTGTTTTCTGTCGTCAACTAACTTTTTGACATCGAAAAAAAACAAGACCCGTCTCGCCTACTCGCGCGCATGGCACCACGTCGACGTGGGCAGTGACGGCCGCACCCTCGGCCGGCTGGCCTCCTCCATCGCCCTCGTGCTCATGGGCAAGAACAAGCCCATCTACGACCCCTCCACCGACTGCGGCGACTACGTCGTCGCCGTCGGCTGCCACGACCTCCGCACCACCGGCAAGAAGCGCCAGCAGAAGAAGTACTACACCCACACCACCCGCCCCGGCAGCTTGAAGAGCATGACCATGGATATGATGTTCGAGAAATGGGGCGGCGGCGAGGTCCTGCGCCGCGCCGTCCGCGGCATGCTGCCCAAGAACCGCCTGCGCGATAAGCGGTTGGCGCGGTTGAAGAGTGAGTAGTCTTCCTTGTCATCCGGGGCATGGGAAATTGCCACGTGAACGCATGAAAGGCCCTCTTACTGATATTCCTTCTGTACAGCTTTCGAAGGTCTCAAGCACCCCTACGAGCAGAATATCATGAAGATCGGTGGGACCGGTGCTCTGGCTCAGGCTCCGGAGGAGTCGGTCATCGGAAAGCTCCCCGAGGTGCAGCAGGCGTTCCAGGCGGCCAAGGTGGAGGTGTCGGCATGAGAAAACCCAACAGATTGACTCTATCATTCGCGGTATATACCTAAGTGCCTTGACTGTTTCCTCTCCTTCTTCTCCGCGGATACCAACAACCGACTTGTGTATCCTTTTTTCCCCCTGTACTTTTATTTTGTTCCCTTGTTGTTGTCACGAATTCTTGCTAGCGCATGGGTGGGAGTTTTTATTTTTTTTCAACGTTTTCCATTTCTTTCTCTGTTTCCGGTCCCTAATTCTATACATTCATCTGATTTGATATGTCTTCGGAAGCCCCGGGCTTGTATCCACATATGCTGTCGATCTACACACCTACTTACTCGAAGGTTTGCACCTGTGCCAGTTTACTTCACTGAGGGAGCGAGCGAGAAAATAGGCTTGTGCTGTATCATAACCGATCAATCCAGTGAAATGCTATACCCCCTATCCCAACGAAGAAACTATATACAAAACCAAAATCGGGTGGGGTGTCTTTGAGCCGGAAACAACATTCAAGTAACCGCTGGAAACAAAAATGACAATAGCAATAGCAAGACCAAAACCCTACACTGCACTACAACTTGGCCTTGGACTTGCGACCAACCGTGCACTTGATGAGACCATTGGGTCCACTCTGGGGTGCATACACCTCGGCATCCTTGCCGGTGTTCTTGAGGCCCTTGTGCCAGCTCAGGTCTAATTATGCGAATGTCAGCCGACATGTTTTTGGTAAAAAAAAACAAAGGCAAAACGGAAACGGAAACATACCAATCTCAAAGTAATGCTTGTTGGGCAGGGCATACTCGACCGTCTCGAGCAGGGGCTGGCGCTCGAGGATCTGCTCGGCCATCTTGTACATGGTGTTCTGGACGCTGGCCGAATTGTCCTCGGCGAAGGTCTTGAGGGTGATCTCGCGGGCGGCGGCCCAGGTGGCATCGAAGCGGGGCACGGCGGCGCGGACGGCCTCGAGTCCCGCGAACCGCTGCCACTGCCAGGTGGCGTCGACGTCGGTGCTGAGGATGCGGTCCCAGGTCTCCGGGAGCGTGGTGTACTCGTCGCGCACGAACCCCCAGAACTGCGAGTTGGTGCTCTTGAGCACGGTCAGCTTGGCCAGCGCGGAGCGGATGTCGATGTTGATCCCCTGGGCGTTCTCGACCACGTCCACCTGCACGTTGCGCGTCTCCTCGCCGTCGCGCAGGAAGCTGTGCGGGTGCGGCTTGCCGTCGATGGTCATGCGCGTCCACCGGTGCGTGATGATCGAGGTGTGCGCCGCGTGGATGTGCGGGTACGTGGTCACGAAGTGGTTCCCCAGGATCGAGCCGAAGAGCTCCGGCGGCGTCACGGGGTTCTGCTTCGCCAGGATGTAGATCGTGTTCTTGATGGAGTCCGTGGCGACGACGACGCTGTTGTCGGCTTTGGTGTAACTGTATCATCGATAAGACATGGTTAGCCGGTTGCGTTGAATAGATAGGGAAGAGTGGAGGGGGGGCGAGTGGAGAGGGAACACAAGCAGGAAGGAAACAGAAAGAAAAGAAAAAAAAAAAAAACATACGAGGTGTCAATTTCTCCCTCCAGGAGAACACAGACGGTCATCTCGACGACGGTCTGGACGCCCGTCTTCTCGTCCCGGTGGACCTTGTATACTCGGACATTGTCCTTGCCGTAGCGGGCCGCAGTGATGGGGGAAGACATGTTTGAAGGAAACAGGGAGGTAGAGGAAAATGTCCGATTGCAAGAGCAAAATGTGCAGGGTATGCAGGTACACAGAAGAACGATCGTACAACCGGGGATCAAAAGCGTCTTTAAGTTGGCGCAGCGTTGACTCGCCCTTGGGGCGAAGGGGAGGGAGGATGGGGAGGGCCTTATCGGCCACCTCCGAAACCCGCGCCAGGTCGACGGCCTCCGCACTTTTTGGGTCCCCCTCCCTTATCTTATCGGGATTTGATCCGGCTTGACTGTAAGCTGGAGGCTGTAGCTTAATAGCGGGAACCCAGAATATCAGACAGAATCAAACTTATTATGCGTCTGGTCAGGCCATATCCCTCCCAACATGCATGCGTATGCTTTTCAGTCGAAGCGGAGGACGGAGATCCCCAACAGAATGATTGCTCTCCGGGATCAGATCACGGTTTCTGGTTTTGACTGGCCTGCTTACTCTCGTTCTATTGTTCTCTTCGGCATGGACATCCGGCTGTTGCCCTCAGTCTGACAGTCTGACTAGACGTCGGATCTGTCCTTGGACATTGAAAGGAGAACGACTTCGGAAGCTCCATGAATGAATTTACCATGTGTATGGGAAATCTTTGCTTGTTCTTTTGCGACGACGGAGGTGTGGCCAACTTTGGTTCTCCTCGTCATTGTTGAATGCTTTCTAGGAGAAATAGAGAATCCGCCCGCCAACCAAAAAAAAACACAATTTTTAGAACCTGTCAAAATGTAATCAGCCACAGCTTAGCCACCGCTTCAAGCAATGGGCTGCAACGCTTCTCTCTTCGCCAAGAACCACAAAATCTACTCAAGTATAGCTAGCGATTGACTTCGTAGTATCATTGGGTGAAGTAGAATGTGGACTTCTCATGCGAAAGCCATGAGCCATCGTCCGCCCCGACTGTTGCGATGGCGGTCGTCGACGGGTTTCATCATCGCGACGGCCTGGATATCGTTCTTCACGGTGGGTACCCTTATGTTCTTTGTTCTTGGAGCAATGGCTGATGTGATCTAGGACTACTTTCTCTATGCGATGGTAAGTCACCAATGAAAAGGGACGTGCTCTGCCATCGACTCTGACCAGCTGCAAAGATCGTGCCTGTTATGCCCACTGCCCTCGTCGACCGCGCCGGCGTCGCATATGAAGACCGTAAGTCCAACTGCCGATTCGATGCTCTGATCCGCTATGTCTGTCCAACGCTAATTCGCGGAACCGTGGCCCAGGAGAATTCTGGGTGAGCATCCTGCTGATGTGCGAAGCCGCCGTCGCCTTCGTCTGCTGCCCAGCGTTCGGATACATGCTCGATGCGGCGCCCACGCGCCGGATGCCCTACCTCCTGGGCCTGATCTTCCTCGGGGCATCGATGGTCCTCCTCGCTCTCGCGCACACGATCGCGGTGTTCATCGTGGCCCGCATGCTGCAGGGTGCGGCCACCGCCATGGTCGCCGTGGCCGGGCTCGCCCTGCTCACGGACTCGGTCTCCACGAGCAATCTCGGCCAAACCATCGGGTACCTGGGCTCGGCGATCGCCCTGGGATTCCTGCTGGGTCCGCTGCTGGGCGGTCTGGTCTATCGAGTCGCCGGGTACCAGGCTGTGTTCGCCATTGCCTTTGCCATGGTGGGGATCGATCTGCTCATGCGAGTCGCGGTGGTCGAGAAAGCCGTCGCCGAACGATGGATGCAGACGCATCCATCATCCTGCTTGCCGTCTCGAGGAGAGGATGGGTGTACGTCAAGCGACAGTCTGGTGCAACAGCAGCAGCAACCAACCGCGTCGCCAACCAGACGCCCCTCCTCCTCATCTTCCGCGACGTCCAACAACGACCAACACCAGAAGCCAGCGATACTCCTCATCATCCGCGAACCACGAGTCCTCATCTCCTCCGGAGCTCTCCTCATCCACGGCCTCCTCTACTCCGCCTTTGACGCCGTAAGCTGTCTTTCCTAGTCCCTGCAATCCTCCCTAACCCAACCTAACCACACCCAACAACCCACATTTCCCTGACTAAATGACAGACAATCCCCATCTTCGTCGAATCGCGCTTCGGCTGGACCACCTTCGGCGCGGGGCTGGCCTTCCTCCCCTCCGCCATCACCGCCCTCTTCCAACCCTATTTCGGTAAGGGACCCCCCCCCCCCCCCCCCCCCCCCCCCCAATCCCTATCCCAATCCCTACCATTAGCCCCCTAAACCCCAAGCAACCCACTAACCCCGGCAAAAAAGGCCATCTAACAGACACTCACGGCCCCCGACCCATCGCACTCACCTCGTTCGCCCTCCTCCCCATCCCCCTCCTCGCTCTCCGCCTCGTCACCACCGCCCAACCAACACACATCGCCCTCCTCCTCACCTGCCTCACGGCCATCGGCTGCCTCATCAACCTGTGCACGCCGGCGCTGTACCTCGAGACGCAGTCCGCCTTGGCCGCGATGGAAGCGCGGGACCCCACCGTCTTCGGCCGCAAGGGCGCCGTCGCCCAGGCGTTCGGCATCCAGACGATGGCGCAGTTTCTGGGTCTGTTTCTGGGGCCCCTGTGGGGAGGGTTCGTGGAGTGGCGGGCGGGGTGGGCGGTGATGACGGGGAGTTTGGCGGGGTTGGTGGGGGTTATGGTTGTGCCGGTTTGGTGGATGGGGGAGGGGGGTGGGATGGGTCTTTTGTCTTCGCTGGGGAGGGTGTGTGCTTGGGGGAGGAAGGGGAAGACGCGGAGGGGGCTGGATGAGCGGGCGGCGTTGTTGGGGGCGCGGGGTTGAAGTTTGCTAGAAGTTATGTACAGTACTGTACTATGTCAGCCTGAAGTACTGTACTGTACCTAGTACCTGGAGGTGCAGCTCGGTGGTTACACTCTTCGCTCTTCGCAAGCCTTTATACAGTACTTTGATCCGGCGCTTTGGTGTATACGGTGGTTCACGGTGGAGGTCGCTTTGTGACTACGGATCTTGGGCTAGCCCTTTGGGAGACTGTAGTTTCAAACAAACCTTGTAAAAGGTAAACACAGCTAGTCTTAGCTGAGCTGTAACGGTAGATCACAAGGAGAACTTAGGTACAGGTCCTATACAGATACTAGTCAATATAGTCTAGGCAACCGTGTGCTCACTTCAACCTTGTTGAAAGTGTACAGTACTTTCGGCCCGGACTCGGGTTGTATGAAACACGATTTCCTTCCTTTGGTCCACACCTCTTGTAGAGAAAAGGATTACTGTAAAACACTTGACTAAAAGTACAGTACGTGTTTGTGGACACACTACCCAGCTCTGCCTACCCCTACCAAGCCCAGGTCTATATGACCTCCCGCTTTTCGATGGGCTCGGTCACTCCCTCGGGTTTTCATTCTTGCCAATCTGCCCTCTTCTAACGAAGCAGCCTGGCACGAACAACGACTGCCATGATTTGACCCATTGCCTCGCTTCATTGCCTCAAACTTATGTAGGACACAGGCAATGAGATGGACACCACGGCAAGCTGCACAAGAGAGAGAGGAGAAAGTTGTTCATGTACCATATATCTGGAATCCACCCCTATATCTGTCTCCAACACTCCCAATCACTAAGCAGAGACAAACTCGCAAATTGGGCAGGATTGTGATACCAACCCCAATTGTCAATCTGCGCAAGGTCCAATCACTCCCGATGAGGAAAGACAACCCGATACCTAAAATAAAGCAAGTTCTTTTTTAAGCCCAAACGCCAAACAGCAACGCCAGTCCCATAAGCCCCTCTCCATTCCTGGCTAATCTCCTGACGCCGAAGGTATATAAAAGTAGGAAAATTCACAAAATCGGAATAGGGTTTGCACAAGCAATTCCCGGTGGCCCCAAGGCCAGTCACCGAAAAGAAAAACAGAGGGAAGAATACCCTGTGAGCGAGAGTCGTGATCAAAGACTTAGCTGATCGATACTCCCCACCCGGCCGCTTCCTCCAAGGCGACCCCCTCCCTTGGTGACCATGCCTAATCGATAGAACCTCTCTTCGCCGCCGGGCGTCCGGCCGCCGATGTACCATTTCTCGGGACCGAGCGCGTCGCGGAACCCGCCCGAGCCGCTGGAGCTGTCACTGCCGCGCCGTTGACGGCCATGGCTGTTGGTGATGGGGATGGGGTTCGAGGCGGCCGGGGTCGGTGGAGGAGACGATGCGCCGCCGGCGGCTTGGGGTGGAGTCGCGGCTGATGACGGGGGCGGGGATGCGGGGCTGGACTGCTCCTGGCCTTGGCCCGGGGCCAGGGGGCCGCGGTGGTGGGAGTGCGGGCGAGAGTGTGAAGATGAGGAGGTCGAGTGATGGTGATAATGGTGTGTTGTGGATGAAGATGCGGAGGACGCTTCCGAGTTGCTGCTGGCTTTCGTGGCGATTGCTCGAGCCGCACTCTGGGAGATCTGGGCAGAGGATATCGAGGCTGATGTGGATTGAGTGCCGGCGGTGGAGGCTTTGTATGTAGACTGCGCTCGGAAGGCCGCAAGGAAGTTCGCCAGGAACGGTCTGTTCGTGGACATTGTGATGACCAGGGAGGGAGGCGAGGGATAATATATGAGTGGTTGAGGTTGTGATCGAGGGGTCGGTGGAGGTAGGCTAGGCTAATCGGTGGACTCGAACCACCGGTCACGTATTGGATGTCCCAGGAGTGGAAGGAGATGAATAGGAGGATACTGATGCTGATCCGAGTGCTGCGAAGCGGGGGTGGGCTTTCTTCGCGTCTATCTATAAAACTCCTGTGAGGGGAAGGGGTGGATGTAGCGGAGGTCGGTGGAGTTCGGAGTTGTGGGTAGCCGCGGAGTTGCGGAGGAATCGAGATCTAGATTGGGGTCTAACGGGACTGAAGGGACTGATAGAGAGACAGAACGTGATCAGGCGGTTAAATGTCGGACATCGACACGAGAAGGAAGAGGAAATGGCTTGTAAGAATCCTTGTAAAAGAGTCGGGTCACAAAATGATGGAAGGGAGAAAGGAGGGATGATGGATGGATGATGGGAGGAGGTTTTGGGGGGGGAGGAAAGGCAAGAGTCGCAGTCCTCCGGAGCGTCCCGTGGGCGGCGGCCAATCACGGCGGGGAAATACCAATCCACGATCCGGGGCAGGCGGTGACGTCGACATTTAACTTAATACAAGACATGCCAGTGCTGTGTGGTGCCAGTGTAAATCTTACAGTATCCGAGGTCTGCTTGATGTTGTGGGTAAACGAGGATCAATTTGATGGGGGGGGAAAGATATGTAACTATTGTACAAGTGCAGTAGTAGTATAGTCACCTATTAGTATACATCATGGATACTAACCTAGTAGTGTCCTGGACTCCTGGAGATCCTTCCCCACTCTGTCTCTCCACACTTTCGTTCTCCTCCCCATCTATCAAGGGTTTGAGGGGGTAGGAAAATCCCGGGATGTTCCCCTCCTCCGGACCAAAGGGATGATTACCTTATAAGTACGAGTAGTACGGGAGTACTGCATGTACATACAGTACCATAGGTATAAGTTACTACCTGCCTTTCCTTGATGGCTCTTCGGCTTCGGTCGGGCCATTAAATGAATCACCTATCTGTCACTCCCTCACATGTACCCCAGGCCACATGGCATGGCTATTCTTCCTGCCTTCTTCCACCGGTCTACCTCGGAGATCTTCCTCGTAGCGTCCGACAACTACCGCCAACTAAGTATCTCATAACAACTACAAATTACACACGTCAACGAATGACCCGAAACGAGCAAAATGAGCATGGGCAACTTCATTAATCCTTCTGCAAGGTAATTCTAGCATATTTTGTATGATGACAATTCCCTCCGGAACAAGGAACTGGAAATGGAGAACACGGCAAGATGGAATAATCGTCGCAACACCATGCAGGGGTTGGCCAGGGATATGCATCCAGGCAATTCAACCGAACCAGGCCTCAAGAAGCGCCAACACAGCTAGCTGGTCTTCCTTCGGCAGCAGTCAAATTCCACAGGCAACCCCGGCCCACACCCCAGATGACAATGTAAGTCACAGAGAATGGGGCAGAGAGAGAGAAATAAACAGGCCATACGCAACAGACCAGACAAACACACGAGAGGGGAAAAGCATTCGAAGATGACTTTGTATGGGCGAGGACGTGTATGGAAACACCTTGGCAGCCCCAGTCCGAACGTGCATACCCTATCAAGGGATACATCGACTCTACATACAGGGTGGACTGGGGGAGATGACATGAAAAATTGAAAAACGGCCGTGATGATTATGCAGACAGAGGCCAAGCACACTCTTTTTCTTGATGCAACTGGAAAGAGAATCCGCGAGAATGGACCATGCAAATCAGGGTGATGCATCGACAGAAAGAAGCCTTCCACTCGAACTCTTTTGATCTCGTTCCACATGAGTTGAACGGTGACAAAGGGAAAGTAAAGAGAAAATAAAAGCACACTCGCATAAAAACACATGCCCAAGTCTATGATTGGACGCCAGATAAAACCACACCATCCCATCAAAATCACTCATAATGGATGGAAGAGGAAAACAGTAAAACAAGAAAATAAAACAAATCCTGAACCACCGCAAAGCTGCACTCGCCGTAGAAATGCTGACACTGAGTTTTTCATCGCAGGAAATTTCAATCACAATACCTGCAGAAAGAAGATATTTTCATCACAATAAGAGATTTGGACGCTGAACAATCCGACCACGCCGATGCGCACTGCGCGAATTTCTTCTTGGGCCTGGTCGACACCCACTTTTTTCTATCGTCGTTGCTTCTTTTTTTTTTGTCTAACTTTTGTTTCACCAATCGAATAATTCCTCCTTTTTTCTATCATTTCTGTCTTGTTCGGAAGTCAAAGCGGCTTTCCGTTCGATCCATAGAAGACATAAACCGAACATTTGAAGTGATTCGGGAATATGGAACTGACATCGAGGATCAGAGACGTCAAGTAGGTCCGGAAAAGAGTCGTATATGCACAAGCATCCCCAATGTAAGATCCAGTACCACTGCACATATCCTTAGATCTTGAATGCGTAACGTCGTATGACACGTAATCCCACTGATGGGAGGTAGTGTGATATGTCGATTCGAGTCTGAATAAAAAAACTCCTCTTCGCGCCAATTGCATGTTGTTGGGTTCAGCGTGGTCAAGATACAGACATCCACCCTCATTTACTCGCGACTATTGGCGGGCGGGCTGAACGGTGCCTAGATAACAGGCGAGTTAGCATCCAACTCAACACTGATAACGAGTGTCCTTTCAACTTACCGTCGCCGCTCATAGTTGAAGCCAGGTAAAGTCCGTTCATGCCACTTTCTTGGGGGCCAGGGCCGGTGGTGGTGGGGTAGAACTTGCGTTCGGCGTCAACGTGAGCGTGGATCGGCTCCTGGCCGGCGGCCATGGTCTGCTGAGGGAAGACCTGGTTGATATAACCGTCGGAACCTCCGGGCTGAAACATCGAAGTCCAGTCAATTTCGCCAGCATGATTGGGAGTGGGGCCAGGCATGACAGGGCGCTTAGGATCTTGAATAACCGGGGGCTTTACCTGCTCAAGGGGAGGACGGTCAACATTCAGTTGTTGGCCAGAGGCATCAGCGCCGGGCTGAACCATGTACGGGCTCTGCTTAGGAGCAGCAAGCCAAGGACCTCTCTGTTGAGGCTGACCAGCAGGATAAGCGTCCTCGGGAGGACCGCGGTTCATCCCATTCACAGACGACATGGAGAAACCCAAAGGCTGCTGTTCCGTGTAACCTGGACGGGCGGGAGCCATGCCATTGCCGTTCACAGGCCCCTCAGCATACGTCGCACCGGGGATACCGTTGGGAGGCGGGATGGGATTGTTGACTTCCTCCTGAACAGGCTTAACAGCATTGGCCGCAGCTTGAGATCTCTTCAGATGCGCCTGGGGATGCGACAAGTGAGTCGCTCCCGTGGGGTTACCACGTCTCAACGAGCACTTCTGGAAGTGGCGCTTCAGGATATCACTGCGGGAGAAAGTGTCTTTGCAAAGAACACACATGTAAGGACGATCACCCGTGTCTGTAACACACGTATGCCTGTTAGCGCGATACAACTTGCAATGCAACTCTCACCGGCGGTCAATCAACTTACGTCTGAGCAGATGACGCTTCAGGTGCTTGGCATGAAGATATGTCTTATTGCAGTGCGGGCAGGGGAATTTTCCATCTGCATCTTTGGCGGGAATTGTGGTGTTCTTGGCAGTTCCATTGACGCCGTTGGGGACCGGAGTCGCGCGTCCCGGAACGCTCGGGAGGATACCACGACGGCCCTGAGAGCCAACAACCTGGGTACGAGGCGGCTCCTTCGCAGCATAAGGCGCAGCGCCGTTCGGGCCTGCCACGGGATCATGGTTCATCCAAGGCGAGCCCTTAGGATCCGAGTAGCTGAAAGCACCCGACGGGAGTGCGGAGTAGTCTGAGCGACGATCACGCGGCGGGGCCGGCGCAATCGGCTGAGGATAGGACTGAGCACTCGACGCGGGAGGGAGCACGCTGTGCGAAGGAGGGTAAGGTTGCGACGGCTGGGGTTGGGCCTGCGGATTGGGATGGGAGAGGAACGAGGACGGAGGCAAGCTACCCACGGTCGTATGAGGCATGATAGGAGCCGCGGAGGTCGCGTAGACATCGTGGGTTGACGCGGGATATCTCGAGAGATCCGGCCGGTAAGGCTGACCCATGTAGGAATGAGGGGCAGGAGACTGGGAGTGATGAGGCTGGAGCGGGGGAAGAGTATGCGGCTGGGACACCGGGTACTGATGCTGCATGGCGTACTGAGGCATTGGCATGCTTGAGATAGGCGTCGAGGAAAGAGGCGTGGAGCCCTGGGGCAGGCTGGTGGATGGGGGCCGTGACGGATGAGATCTGGGATCCATCGTGACGCGGGGAGGGTGTCAAACAGGAGGGGTGAGAGTGGAAGTGAAGGGAATGGGGTTTAGGACTCGCGAACAAGGATTTCACGGTATCTTGATCATTGATCGCAGAACGGAGACTAGGACCTTTCTGCAATTGTGTTGCGATCAAAAGGCGAAGCTTCAAGGATGCGAAAAGCTTTTGCCAATGTCACCGACTTCAAAATCCTGATCGCGTCCTTCTCGACGAGGGGATTTTTTTCGCTGTGTGAAGTTTTTCGGTCCCTCCTTGGACTCTCCTTTCACTTTTCTCTGTGTGTTCTTTCCGGGGACGGAATTGGATGTTTTTTCCGGACAGACGCGAGAAGGAATCAACAGGTGTTTGTTCGGGATGGTGAGTTCGGATGGCAATGGACTCAAGGGCAGTCCAAGGTCGATGATAGAGATGTGCAGGAACAAGTCCGACTCCACTGCAGAAAAGAGGTCAGGATGAGGTCGAGATGCTTAATCTGAATTCCCCACGGTCACCCACCAGAAAATCGAGTTGTGTGGGAACTTCTTTTTATCCGCACGTTGTCAAAACAGTCAATGGTTCTGATCCACCAGGGAGGCGGCGTGTAAGTGGGTCTAACAGAACCAGCAGCAGTGCTAGAGGGAGATTTTGCTAGTCAAATTCTGCTTCGCGTCAACAATGCGCAGGATTGACCAGTACTTTTTTTTTGCTTTTCGTTTCGGATGGGGTGAGGAGAATAAAGAAACTGCCAGGGACAACGCGTATAGATGCGGAGACCAGGGAGTAGGAAGAAAGATGGAAAGTAAGGGGGGGGAGGAGATGGCACAGATGAAAAAAAAAGAAGAATGATGGATGGGTTTGTAAGGAAACAGAGAAGAGAAAAAAAATTGTAAGAAA